AGAGAGAGAGAGAGAGAGAGAGAGAGAGAGAGAGACAGAGAGAGAGAAAGAGAGAGAGAAAGAGAGAGAGAAAGAGAGAGACAGAGAGAGAGAAAGAGAGAGAGAAAGAGAGAGAGAAAGAGAGAGAGAAAGAGAGAGAGTGAGAGAGTGAGAGAGTGAGAGAGTGAGTGAGTGAGTGAGTGAGTGCGTGCGTGCGTGCGTGCGTGAGTGAGTGAGTGAGTGAGTGAGTGGAGATAAAGTGGTTTGCCGGCGCCATTGGGGCCCCAAACGCTCTTTCTACATTTCCACTCGGTGGAACCAAAGATCAACCGTCATTCCTGCGCAGGGTCCATCGGGGCGCTCGTGCGTTCGCAACATGTTGCCAGGATGGTCTGAAGGCAACTGGCAATCACAGGCTGGAGCAACGCCCCTTGCGTGTGAGTTGGACAGTTGGAGTGAGCCCATTCAGGATGGGATCTGGATCACACAGATTCTGTGAGATACATAGCCACAATGAACTTCAGAGACTCAGACTCAAATCAGATCAAATTGAACAGCTTTCTTCGTGACTGGAGAGGCGGTCAAGGACACCATAGCTGGAAGCAAAAAACTGAACGGTACCAATGCTACGTGCCATTGCGCGCCGTTCGCGTACAATGCGTACAGCTCCCTGACTTCAGTATCCAGGCACCATGGAGCAGCGAGACCTATTCCAGCACGTGGGAGAGGCCACACTATACATCCAGTTGGGATTCTTGGCCCAGTCTGGTGCCCAGATCTTTGAATTGGGCAGTCAGGCGGGCGAGTCAGGTGCAGTGTCAGTCCCCAGAGGACAGATCCAGGTCCTGCTTCAACAGACGGCGCACGAATTGCGCCGGTCGTGCCGAGGCACGGGAAACTATGGCAACAACGCCAGTGACGGAGGATGTGATGGTTTTGATGGAGGGTATAGCCTCTTTGCTTTCATTCAGTCACCAGTGCGGTTTTATCATTGTACTTACTAGATTGTTCATGTGGGCAACGTATGATGATGTGAGTGTCAGATTTGTCAAAGAAGAGCCTTTTCAGCCACAGCACCATACAGCATCACTATAGCTTGTCGGCTTGTCAACCGGGCCGCTTGAGGCAGCAATATCACATCATACCAGACGCCAGCTGGCTGCACGTGTCAAAGTGGGCAGAGATTCGAACTTGTCAGCCGGACAATTGGATCGTGGGAGTCGGCCCAAAACATGGAGCAAAGGGTTGAACTGCTATAGGATGTCACTTCATTGACTTCATTGTCACTTCAATCAGTGTTTCTTCAGCTATATATATATATTCCTTTAATGAACTCCCACTTCAATGATCACGTACTTGCAAAGAGTTTAGCCAAGAGGCTTGCAGTTGGGTGAGGGCTTGTTGGCAACAGCTTCACTCAAGTCTGCTGCCCTGATCTTGCGCAAAAGAAGCAGATGTCTAGCTTACGTAGCCTCTTCTTGCCCAGTACCTCGGTGTTGACGGAAACCCACTATTGGGAGTCGCTATCACTGAGGCCGGCCTTCTCTGCCCCACGGGGCTGGCAGATTTGAGGCGAACACCTCGGCGCAGGCCGCACAAGGGAGTCTCCCATGGGTTCTGGGGCCAGTTGTAGCACAGCAAACGGGTTTGAAATTCGAGCTGGTGGTTGACCCCGCAGTTTAAAGGGGTGATCGGGGCCCTCCCAGGGCAGCCGGCTGTTTGTTCATCCCCTCCAAAAGCGACAGATTGCCGATTGCCGAGTTATATAAATAGGTATACTAATCATCTTCCCACACGCAATCCTTGTCCGTTGCCGGAACACCATCGTGAGCGCCATTGGCAACACAAAGGAAGCATAAAATCTTAGCTGTCTTAGCTGTCGTAGCTCTCTTCCCACCTGACAGCATTCGTGGCCACCGGAGGCCGCCGCAAGGCTTTCTGGCGCAGCTGGACAGAGCTGTTGGCTGCCCGCGCAGGGACCGGCCGGACTGTCCCGACCAAGACATCAGAGCCGCATCCACAAGGATCATTGGATGATGAAATCCAAAGATGGGAATTCCACGGGTGAGTTTGCCAACAGGGGACCGGGTGCAGTGTAGTCCAGATCGAGCCTTTGCCATTTGGGGGAAAAAGGGCATAATCAGCCGAACGAACAAACCAATAATAAAGCAACATACGCGTGCAGGGTATAGCCGGGTCTACCACCAGGGTGCTGCATTTCACCAGACATCCTGGTGCCCTGATTTCCTTGACAAACACACTTCAGACATGTACTGGATCTGCACTAAGTGGAGCTCCCCAAAGATGCTCGGATCGCTACCTTTGGACTTTGGTAGTGACTTGGCAATGAGGATCCCCACTTCAATGGTAGAGATCTACACCTGTCAATGCTGGGAATGAAGGCCGTCACCTGCTGCGGGCGCCCCAAGCACGCCCGGCGCCGGTAGCTGTGGCTGAATGATTTGCCGACAATTCGATGGCGTCCTGCTCTTGGGCCAAAGAACACCTCTCTCCCATGACTCACTTCTGGTCTTGGGCAAGGCGTCATGGACAAGATTCCGTGACATGAGTTAAAAGTTAAGACTTCTAGTAAAGTGTCCGGCGAGCCTTTGAGCAAAGGACACTGAGCTACACTTGCCAGGTCAAGCCTCGGCTAAAGAACCAAACCAAGCAACAGCGATAGTAGTGAGTCGCAAATAACTATAAATTACAATATAATATAGTCCGCCCAATAAGCAGGCTCGCCCGCAGTGGCGAGGCTTGTGGATGGCACGCCGCGGGTCGTTGGGAAGGTCGAAAGACCCGAAGTGACCAAGTCGAATGATGAATGCCACTCGTGAAGCGGCACCAGGAGTGGCAGTTAGCCAACGGGGGTGAAAGTTCTATAGAGTTTCACCTTCCCAGCTGCTTCCGGTGTGGAACCTCCGCTTCTGGTGTGTCTCACACCCTGGTTTCACCGGAGGCGTCCCCTCCATTAGATTTGCACCGCTGCCTGATGCGCCCCAGGCCTCGACCAAAGGCTACCAGCTTTGAGAGTTGATCCGTGCCCCGAAAGATGAGGGTTGGTTTGAGAGTTTGACACTCACCAGCAAGCAGGGCTTAGAGAACCGTTTGCGGAACCCATAGCTGAAGATACACCTGTTGGTTTGGGGATCCTATCATGGTCAAGACTCAGACCGTTTATTGAACGATTCACACAAAGGGGAAACAATTGGAAGACACATAAGTGCGAGGAAAGAGCAAACAATGTTGAATGTTCTCGACCCCCAGCTGCTGTTTGGGCCTAGCTGCCATTTATATAGATATGGCAATCATGTTGAATCAGTTGTAGGATGCGCATTCCCCCTATTTACAACACGGCCATTGTGACTAGTGCGAGGATGTAAACGGGGCTCACCATGTGCAGACACTTAGATTCTTGAGCCACGCCTGTCATTCTGCTACGGAGGCCCTGTGCAACACTGCGGCATGGTCACCAAAATAATGAGTGTGAATGCTTCACCACAAGGAGGCGAATACACACCATGACGCCACGAGGCAGACCAGCTTTCACGGTGATGTCAACGGAAAGTTCTGCCGTGCCGCGGCGTCTTGCATCTTGGCAATTCTCCTGGCGATGCCAGCCTTCCTTTGGCGACGCAGAAGAGGCGGACAACTTCAGAGAAAAGTGTCCCGCCATGAAACGCATACAGAGCGTCCAGTCAAACAACGTCTTCCTGGCCTGCCTTTTCTGCAGATTCTTTCAATGCACCGTAATCGTGCAATGGACCGCCTTCGACCTGTGTTGTTTGGTGTTCTTTTCTTCAGTTCTCAGGGACCGCGGCAGCATTGACAAGGCATAAAAAGGAGTGTCCTGCGCGGATGAGGAGTTGCCATGGCGCGGATCCGATGGGGGGCTCAAACCACCAGGCAAACGGAGGACTGGAACTCGAGCCCGATATGAAAGACGCGACATGCCCGACATGAGGGTCCAGATAGACACGAAAAAGAGCCTCTTTGAACATGTATTGGAGCCTGCCCGTTTGGTGATATGTGCATCTTTGATATTGTTTAATCATGTTTTATGCATACCGGTTGCGGGATGTGCGGAAGCGGGAAGCACTCCACGCCACGGGTCAGGGAATGCCGCCTCGCGCGTTATTTACGCGCGAGCGCGTCGCTGCCGCGCATCCCGCGCATCCCGATGAGGTCAGACATCTGAGTGGTCAGACATCGCTACCGCGGTACCTCGCTGACGTAGAAACGCCGCCTTTGGGGGCACGACCGTTCCTTCAGGAGTTTCATTGGGGTGGAGTGTGTCAGCGGCGCGAGTCGTATTGCACAAATCGAGAAGAGAGATGAGCACATAGATATCTTGTCTCCAAACTCTAAACTGCCAGGCCCCGTTTTTTTTTTTTTTCTCTCTCTCTCTCTCTCTCCGCATTTTTGATACGAACATAAACTTGCAAGAAGGGCTCGAATGTCAGTTTTCTAGAATGGTTTCGCCCAACCAGATGCCGGAGTTTGGGAGGAATCGATGACACAGATTGCTGAAGCGTCTTCCAATGAAAGTGGAGATGCCTCTCGACCCCTCCGAAACAACAAGCCAAGTGTAGTTCTAGCACCTCGTGCTGTTTCGGCATTGCGTTCTAAAAAGTGTTTGGCCGCTTCGACTCTCTGTAAGTAGGGTGGGAGTGGGCATTGTTCCAATGTGGCCAAGAGACATGAATCAAATGTCGGAAGATGGGGAGAGGAGTTCTATCTTCTTCCTGCTCACTTTCTTGAGGTTGATCAATCCGCTTCCAAGTCTTTCTGCATGTTCACGTTCACGTTTTTGCGCCAGAAGGGTTCAGCGGCTTTGTGACATTCCCGGATTCCCATGCCAGGGGACTTGTTCAGACATTCCATCTCCACTGCGAGAGTTTAGACATGTTTAGACATGTTTAGATGACAAATGAGAGATTGAAATAACCCCATTCTCAGGACTTTAGTGTTGGCATGCACCTTAACACTCACTAATGCATTCCTACCCCAGAAAACGATCAGAGTAAAACATACGATAATGCAAACGACACGGGTCTTTTTCAATAGTGGTAACAAGTGCCACGCTAGTAGTAACAAGTGCCTTACTAGTAGTAAC